AATAAATAAAATAAAATGTTAAAAAAAAAAGAAATGGCTGTAGACTAGATGTTTTCAATGGCAGCTGGGATAGCAATATAGATGTTGAGGTTATTCATGTGAGAATGGTTGAAATGATGGACTATAAGAATGAGATTTTTCTATAAAACAATTTAGGAAAAGCACAAGTTAGGGGAAATATATGTTATATAATATCAATTAATTTATATAATATAAAATATACATTAATTTACATAATATGCACATAATATAACTTATGTACAATTTGTCACTCTAAATGATGTGTATACCATATATATTTGAAAATGATATTTATATTACATATCATAAAGCTAGCTATATAAATATTTCTACACATTTAAAAAGGAATGGATGACATGGAAGAACACAGGATGGCTAAAAGAAGTAGAGGTGGGCTGGGAAGGTAGCTCAGTGGTAGAGTGCTTGCCTTGCATGCATGAAGCCCTGGGTTTGAATCCTCAGCACCACATAAGCAGAAAAAGCCATGGCCCAAGTGGTAGAGTGCTAGCCTTGCGGTGAAGAGCTGAGAAACAGCAACCAGGCCCAGAGTTCAAGCCCCACAAATGATAAAAAAAAAAAGGAAGTAGAGGTTAGGATGCTGTAAAAAAAAATAGGATGCTAAGAAAAACAGAAATCAATTATCTAAGTGCTATGAAAAAGTCTGGGCCTTCTTTTTTTTTTGTATGTTTTTATTGTAAAAATGTGTACAGAGGGGTTACAGTTACATGAGCAAGGTGTTGAGTACATTTCCTACTGAGCATTGTTGCCTCCTCCTTTGTTTTTTTGCTTACCTTCTTGATCTATTATTAAATGAAGAACTATGGTGCTAAAGCTCAAAGGGAGTCGAACTAAAGCTAAAATGAAGTGAGTAGGAAGAATTCTGAGACTATCAATATGATGAGATTCCCACATAGATACAAAAGAACTTCAGACTTTTATGTCAATAGCACAGTATCATCTCTGACTCTTTCCTAAGCTTCTTGTAGATTGGCATGACTATAAGCATATGATAGTCACCCTTAACTGGGTCATCAACACTTCCCAGAAATCCTTGTAAGTCTACTGGAGACTGAGCTTTAAGACATGAAAGACTAGTTTGTTAGTTCTCGTTGCATCCTATAGAATTATCAGCTTTTGAAACTCATAAATCACAAAGCACCTATGATAGGATTAATTAAGGAAAGGATTGACTTTTCTATTAGTTATTCCTGACAGCAAGCTTTTCTTGAACAATCTTAAAATTGTTTTTGAGAAGCAATATTTATTTAGTGAATATATATGTACATTCGCATGAAAAAGCATGTAGAAACTAAAGCACATTTTCTTGTGTATATGGAGTCTTTGCACATAAACTAACATGTATAAGTCCTGAATGCTAATGCTTTTAAAGGAACTTGTCCACTGCATGCAATCACAGCATATGAAATTGAAAGAAATTCATTTTGCCACAAGCACACAATTATAGACAATTTGTAACTCTCATCCCTTCATATACTCACATATTCATAAGAGGTTCACAAGCATTTCTTTGCTATACACCACAAACTCTACACTTCATGCATAAGAAATGCAAGAGATTACTAAATTAGAAATACATACTGTATCAATATAGCAAGACAGCATAAAGACGTTCATGTATTATTAATATATTCATGCAATTGCATTTCCCAAGAATGTATTGGATTACTCTTTCCTTCAAATATGTAACAAATTGCTACGATGATAATTAAATACCTCTCACAATCAAGTAATGATTTCAAGAAATTTAACTCTTGGACATTTAACTCTATGAAAATTTAACTCTAAGACATTGTTGCTAAAAGCCATTTTACTAGTTTAGTTTTCTGCTAAATGAAAGAAAAATGAGACTATTAAAGCAATATTAAATAAAAAATCATAATCCTCCTTTATAATTGAACCCTTTATATAAAGAGATATAACATGCTCAGTTAGAAAGAAGATTTGATCTTGGATAGACCTGACATCAACACAGAGATGGAGGTATTATACAAAAAGGCTACCATAGCTTAGGTTTAGTTCTAATTGTCTCTTTGTCAAAATTTACCTCATGCTGGTATTTATCAGAGCAGAATCTAAGACTGTGGGGTAGGTAGAATATGGGTTTGCAAGACTATTGTATTAATAGAATACCTTCAATATGGTACCACGTGGTAGAATTTACAATGTCTGACAGTAGTTGGGCCATCATAGGGTATAGGCAAGAATAAGAAATAGTAATTATGAGAGTGGGCAGTGATTTCCTTATACCCTTACTCTGTCCTGATTGTCTTCACCTCAACTTAGAATGCAGTGAGAGACATCATATGCAGCAAGAAGAGACAAGGAATATATCCCATGAATAAATTGCCTAAAACAGTATTTTGTGAAAACAGGCACATTATTAAACAAGGGTATGATAACATGCCTCTTGTGAAATAAATGATCTAGGCAATAAAGATGATTAGGCAAATTATGGGTCTTATGTAGAGATGAGAAGCTGTCCAGTGATTGGTCTAGCATATCTGAGGGTGGGTAGAATACATGGCAATTATGAGTCCTATATTTCCCTATATTCACATTATGCATAGCTGCATCTCTCGTGGGGACACTCTAGGGATTCAACTTTGGCCTGAGGAATGTGGAGACAAAGGTTGCCCACAGATTATCACATGGGCAAGGAAGGCATCCAAGCATTCCACATTTTGGGTGGAAGATATCACCAGTCAATTTTCAAGGCTCCTCAAATTCCACCATCTACAATGTTGGCCCTAAGTGTAGAGCTATGCTCTGTGACTTTGAGACATGCCATTCTCAGAGATAGGTTTCAACTTCAGTATCTTCTCCAGGTGACTTTACGAAGTTGTACAGTATGATACTCCATTTTAGAATATTTTTTTCTTTACTTGTCAAAGACAGCTCCTAATTCCAAATACTGAGTTGCTCCCTAGCCCTGCCTTTGCACCCACTGCTCGGTCTGCCTCTCCGTCATTTTCTATTCCAGGACTCCATCGTACCTTTGTGTGGCACACAGTAAACCAGTCTCCTTGGATTTTTTTCTGCTACCTTGCTCCTCTCGGTTTGGGTGGGAAAAAGCAGTGAAGCGGTCAGCCATTCCTGTGTGATGACTCAGAAGGAAACAGGGCTTTGGAAAATTGCTTAAAATGTCAACTCAGAAGGAAAATTATTTACAAATGAATTAACTGAAATGGGGTAGTTTCAAGGGAGACCTTAAAATAGTGAAATTTCTTAGCAAAGCAAGGTCAAAGTTCAACCAAAAAACACCAGGAAGTATATACTTGAAAGGGCTGGGATAGAGTTAGAAGGGATGGGTAAGTGGATGAAGAGGAGAAAAGGGGAAGAATGCAGTCAAGAAGCCAAAATATATCCTACAAAATTAAGAAGAGTGAGAGAAGGGGTATGGAGGGGAGGGATGCGTGAGACCTTGAAAGGGGGTGGCATTGAACAAGATGCCTTGTATTCATAAACTGCTTTGTTAAATGGCAACTCTTTGGTACAACTAGGTAAAGGCAATAAAAAGTCTAAAAAATTAAAAATAGATATGACAATGTTATTCAAATTAATAAAGACTTTTTCATCACTTTAAAACATAAAATGTAGTATGATCACAAGAGATTATTCATCCCCACCCCCCCCCCCCCCCAATATCTCCTTGTATTCTGACTTCCATTTTCCAGTGGAACTCACAACATTTAAAGAGAGGCTGATTCTTCAGTTCATCTAATACTCAAAAAAGTGTGCACTGGTCTAGAGTCACAAAATTTTAAACATCCAAATATATTCTACAGTCCTTGTTCTACCATAGGCCATGAACATATTCTGTATGCTATTTTTGCTTTTTTTAATACTTTCATTCTTCATACTAATGCTAAGCCTTACAAATAAAGGATAATTACAAAAATCACACTGAAACCAATATGATTTAGAAGTAAAGCAGAGAAAATTGAATATAAAATGAAATAAAGTGGTTTTTAAAGAAAATAAAATAAAAAGTGCCACAAGATCACTGTTCTAAGAAGTTATTAGCTTTTGTATGTAGTTACACAATCCTAAGAGTTTTCTGTACATATATAATCCCTTTTTAGAAAAGACACCATGACTTAAGGCCAATTGATTTTCTTTTCTATTGAGTGTTGTAACATCTTTTTTACATCATAATAGGTGTACATATAATTGAGTGGCAAAAGGCATTGAATGGCACAGTATATGAAGTGATTTCAGAATTTGAAGAGTTTTCCTTTTATCTTTTATAAATAATGAATTTATGCAAGTCTTTCAACAGGTTCTTATATCAAAAACTCTATTTCTATGAAGAGATTCCCAGACCTGGTTGGGGGGTACATTGTCTGCAATCCCAGCTATTTTGGAAGCTGTATGTGGTAAATCTCAGCTACCTGAGAGGCTTGGTAGGAGAATAATGACTGCAGAATAGACCTAGGCAAAAATATAAAACCCAAACTGGAAAATAGGAACAAAATGGGGCTGGAAGCTTAGATGATGTGGTAGGGCACTTTTCTAACAAGCATGAAACCCTGACTTCAAACTCAAGCAATTTCAAACATCAATTAAAGAAAGAGAAGAAAAAAGAAAAATAAGTGCTTAAGTTTCTAAAATCCTTTTGACCATATACTAATATATGTTTGTAAAATAGTGCAAAGCACTCAAAGTTTTCACCTTAAAATTCTGTAGAAAATAACACTCTTTCAACATATTCAGTGATGCATTGCAAGAAAGGAAACATTATTTCCTTATAGTAAAAAACACAGAGAGACCAGGTTTATCCATTGCAGGAATCAGATTTCTTGCGATTCCAGGAAATTCTCTCATAGAAAGTGCTGGCCCCTGTGACAATGCTTTATGAAGATGTCTTTGTTATAATACACAGTTGCATAACAATATTTCTTCATTACATTCCCAGATCAATGCAACTTGAAATATTGGAAGAGTCTGTGATTCTTGGCTCAGGAGTCTTTCCTACAACATCCTTGGATAACCCTGTCTCTGATCTGTTTGGTTCGAACTCCATAGATGATGGGGTTGAGCATGGGAGGGACCAGTAGATACACATTAGCAAACATGACATGTACCATGCGAGGCACATGATGACCAAAGCGATGAGTGAGGAAAGTGAAAAGGGCTGGAATATAGAAAGCCAGTATAACACAGATATGTGAAGCACAAGTACCAAAAGCTTTGAAGCGGGCTTCCCCTGCAGGCAGCTGCAACACAGCCCTCAGAATCATCACATACGATACGCTAATGACCATTAGATCAAAGCCAACCACTGAGAAGGCCACAAAGAGCCCATAACCACGGTTGACTGTGGTGTCAGCACACAGCAACTTGAGCACAGCCATGTGCTCACAGTAGGACTGGGGAATGACCCTGTTGGGGCAGAAGGGCATCCTGGAGATCATGAAGCAGAAAGGGCTCACCCACAGCAGCCCTCTCATCATCACCGCCGCCCCCAGCTTCATCACTGCAGAGGTGGGCAGGATGCTCGAGTGCCGGAGTGGGAAGCAGATGGCCACATAGCGGTCCAAGGCCATAGCCATGAGTACCCCAGACTCCACAGAAGAAAAGGCATGGATGAAGAACACCTGGATGAGGCAGGCATGATATTCAATCTCATGGGCATGAAACCAGAGTATGGCCAACATTTTTGGCTGTGTGGAGGAGGACAGGACCAGGTCGGTGACAGCCAGCATGGCCAGAAAGAGGTACATGGGTTCATGCAGGGTGCGGTCGATTCGGATGATATGCAAGATGATGATGTTTCCCACTACAACCACAATATACATGACACAGAATGGAAAGGCAATCCACACTTGGGAATTCTCCAGTCCTGGGATTCCAAGAAGGATAAAGGATATTGGAGAAGTATTGTTTCCTGAAGGCAGCATCAGGAGATGAATGATATCTTCTCTCTATTTCCTGCAGATGATAACAATCAGGCAATTAGTTTGATTCCTTATTAATGTTGTGAAAGATTTCATGGAGTACTGAGAACATTCTCAGTTGTTTTTAATAAATAAAAATTTATAGCACTCACAAGGCAACTCATTTTTATTCACATTTATGTCATTATGATAACAATGGAATATACTGTACTCACAAGTATTTTTTTTCAAAGTCAACATGTTTTGAGTTTGAACAAAAGGAAAGTAGCCAAGCTCCATTGTCATTAAACATGTTTCCTTTAGTGCATGGATCCTTCTAGCAGAAGCAGCACCACAATTTTTCTAATAAAGGTCAATTTCTCATTTGCAGACACTAACATTGGCATTGCCAACAATCCATTTAACTTCTCTAGTATGACAGCAGCCTTGGTAATTCATGACTGCACAGCTGTGGCTGTATTTCAATACAAACATTTTCATTTGCACTGTGCATTTTGTCTGCAGGCTGCAGTTCACCACAAGTTGTCCTATGCACCAAGTGTTTCATGAGCTCAGCCCAGAACTTTGCATTCTTCCTCTATGTTTTGGATAGAGTATTTTAAGAAGTATTTGCTGAAGGTAATAACAAATACTTGGTGGTTGCATATTTCTTTAACAGACTAACAATAAGCCACATCCTGAAAGAACTCACTTAATTTCTACTTTATGCCATACCTTAAAGAAAGTTGTGTGCATTTTTTTCATAGTAGAATCTGCATGTAAGGCACCATCTTGCCTACATCGTCTTCATGCATTGACAGTAGTGTTTCATTCCTGTGATGACCATAGTCTTTCTTGTATCTTGCTTGGTTTCTTAACCACTAGTTTCTCACTACTTGGTCTTGTTTGTCTTGTCTCTTGGTTTGGAAACCTTAGCTCCTACCTCCTTTACAATCAAAACCTAGTTAAGAGTTTTGTCATGTTCCATCACCTGAGCAATCGTTTGGAGGAACTGACAAAAATATTTCATTTAACTATACCCAGTGGTTCCTATAAAAAGCTTTCTTAGTCTCTTGTTAATTTTCCCTAGGTTTATAGTCTGAGAGAAACGGAGCTTAGAGTTTATAAGTTGTGCTCTAAAGTGAAAAATTGCATGCTTCTCCACAGGAGTTTCTCCTAAAGCCCTTGGTGAGATGATTAGGTAAAATGCACAAAAAAAGTTGGAAATTGATTAAATCTATTAAAAATGGTATTATGAAGTTCAACAAAGTTTTTTTTTTTTTGGGGGGGGGGGGGTCCAGTTGTGCGGCCTGAACTCTGGGCCTGGGTGCTGTCCCTCAGCTTTTCAGCTCAAGGCTAATGCTCTCCCACTTGAGCCAAAGTGCCACTTCCAGCTTTTTTTCTTTTTGCTTACATGGTGCTGAGGAATTGAATCCAGGGCCTTATGCATGCAAGGCAAGCACTCTACCACTGAGCTACCTTCCAAGCCCTCAACAGGTTTTATAGAGGATACAAAGCATCTAAACTTATTTTCTTATTAACAACTACTCTGCAAAGACATCCTTAAATTTAAAATAAAAGGCAGCACATTTTAGCCTAAAAAAACACTGGAATATTAATTATGGAGCTATCAACCTAATGGGGGCAATAGGTATGGAATACTTCTATTGTTTTTTATGTAATCTTTCTGGTACCCTCAGTTTTTCTCACTTTCAGTGACTAAATATTCATTCTTTGCATTAAAATATTTTTACTAATTTTTATGTTACGTTAGCCTTATCTCAAACATCTTGGGTTCCTAAATATATGTAAGACATTAACTTCATGGCACTGCTTTTATAACCTTTGATACTTGATATTTTTCAAGGGACATAAAATTCCAATAATTGTTTGTAGTTTCAAGAAAATAATCACTTAAAGTATAAGTAGGGTTTTAAATCATTAGCTTCAGTGTGATATTTCTTTTATATATTATTATTAGCAATCTCTTTGCTTGCTTTGTCATCTTTCATCCACTTCACAAATGTTTCTCCTCACTTTATTTTAAGATTTATAAAAGAATTCATAGATGTATGTATGTTAAATGCATGGGTGTGCATATAATAAATGCTGATCTCTATTTTGTTTCAACTTTGTAATAATATTGTTTCTAACTTGCATAAAACTTCTGCATCTTCATTTCAACCATGATAAAAATAGAGTTTAAGTCATGATAGGATCAGCCTGGTATCATATAACCAAATCTGTCAGAAAAAACCACTTCATAGCCAGGACTCTTGGTGACACACATTATTGCCTTTGCTACATAGGGAGTGGTTAGGAAACCGAGCCTGACTGGGTCAAGCAGAGATAGACTCATCATGATAGAGGTGAATATGAGTTTCACAAGTGTGGACTAACTTAGAGACAGATTTGCATTTTTGCCAAGGATGCTGATATTCTACTTTACTGGAGCCTGTGGACAAGGATTCTGCATGGCATTCCAATCTCTGAGGATTTGCTACTTTCTCAAGGAGGACATCTGTATTAACTACTGTGAGCCTTAATGGAACACTCAATCTTCTATACTCTTTGACAACTCTTTGATAACTTTCCCATTCACGTTTCAGCTACCAGAATTAAGCAGCCTCTTTCAAAATCATTTTTCATTCCCCTCTATTCATATGCTACTCTCACGGATAAGCCTAGGATCCCTCATTTTTCACATATGGTTTTATCTTTCCTCATTCAACACGGCTGGCTGAGATGCAGATTTTCCCCCCTGTTTGCCAAATGAAGAGCAGAGTCAACGTAGGACCTATGTCTGGAATGGGCTTTGGGGTCATTGTCAGGTACCTCTGTTTCTTCTCTGTGATTTCCCCAGTAATTGCATGGAATCCAGTGTGTTCACTGTAGAAATTCCTGTGTTTCATGCTTAGAAGCTTATGAACTGAACACAGATATACTGAAGGCTAAAAGTCACTAAGGGTGGACAGACATTTGCCCAATCCCCCATTGTTTTTGTCTGAAATGGGAAGTTTTCAATACCAAAGCCATTTATTAGTTTGTTGTTGACTTTAATATAAAAATGTACATTCTCTAAGCAGTAAGAAGAATATCACTTAACTTTTATTTCCCTAACCCAAATTCCTTCTATTTTTTATTTCCCTAACCCAACTTCTGGCCAGAAGTTTTATTTTTTTTTTCCGTAGGTCAGAGCTCTCATGGATGGAATGTACGAACACTGAAATTAAGTCATATACTTATGGTGAAATTAAGCCATATACATATAATGTGAACACCGTAGATAGGATGATCACAAGGAAGTTTTCACTCAATTTTTCTGTGCCCTCAAATAAAATCTAGCTTGTAAAACCTCTGGGTAGCTTTTTTTAAAAAAGTGTTTTTTATTACCTTTAAGTGGTTTTACAAAGGAGTTACCATTCAACAAAGCAGTTTATGAATAATCACCCCTTGATCAATGTCACCCCTTTCAACATCTCACCCATCTTCCCAAACCACCCCTGCCCTCACTTTTCTTAATTTTCAGGTTATATATTAATTTCTTTTTGCCATTTAACCAAATAATTTATGTATACATCTTTCTCTGTATCATATCTTCAATATCTTCACTCTCCTTTTGACCCACCCTTCCCTTCTGGGTAGCTTTGGGTTGAAGAAATTTAGTGTATTATCAGAGAAGAGAGCTTGCTTCATCTATGAATGTGGGATTGAATCCATTCATGATAGCCACTTAGCTCTGTTGGCTCTCTGCTACTCCATTCATATATTGAAATAGTTGTTTCCAACAATCAACTGCATTACTGAAGCCAGTAAAGGTATGACATAAAATGAGCTGAGATCTTGCGAATGAATAGCTTCAGGAAAATTCTGACTATTTCCAGCTTTAAGATATCTAAAGCTGAATTGTAGAGCAATAATAATGGTGGATACTGGATTCACATGTCACCTCCTTCCTGAAGGGTCTATCTGTGCAAGTCTTCTTACCTTTCTAAATCTCCCTGGAGGACAGATTCTTTCTCCTATTCCAGAGTAACATCCACTGTTCTTGGATTTCTGGACTTGGGGCTTCCAGGGATTCAGGCCTTTCTGCACAGTGTATCACCTTGTCTTCCTGCTTCTCAGACTCTATGATTTGCTTCCCTGTCTAGAAAGGCAGACATACCTGAGGTGAAAGGAATCACTCGGCTTGAGTTATACTCTATCTTACACCAACGTAGGGATACCATCAACAGTTCTAATAAGTCCCTGATTTCTGCCTTGGCAGGAACTTTGAAGGACTGAAGGACTGCATCTGGTCTTTACTTTCCCCGAGTATTAGTTCTCTCCTGCCCCCTTCTACGCCTGCCCCTGGCTTCCTCTGAGACTAGGTACTGAAGCTGGAAGCGTTAACCCCGAGGTTTCCTCTCTCTACTGAATGTACAAGTGGAAAGGCAGTGGATTGGACGCACGTGCACAGTGCTGTGACTGCCTGACTGTGAGCAACATGGACATACCATTTTTGTTAATGTGAGAATGCATATTTACAATTGAAGGGATTTTCTGTGCAGTTTTGAAGTGTACCGATAATTCACATATGTGTTCTATGCCTACCTAAAAGGCATTAATAAAGACATGTATAAGGAGCTGGATTTGCATGTGTACAATATTTATATGTAGATGTTTGACTAATTATTTGCTTTAATGATACCTAATTTGTGGGATGTCTTCATTCTATGAGGTCATGGTTGCGGAATACACATGCTTTGTGAAGTACAACTCTAGTTACCTATGATAGTGTGAAACATCATAGCCATTGTGTGTTCACATAAGCATCTATACACAAGTACTGTGGGCTTCATGAGGTTGTTAGCAGCTTTTTGGAGCTGAAGTTCTCACTAAGTGGTTCCAAGGCCCTGACTTCTAAGGGAATGATAACTAGAGAGGGAAAAGGAATTCTGATCTTTTCTGAAACTTGAAGGCCTTCCTCATTTAAGGTGAAGAGTTACAGCCTACAGCAAAACCCTCACATACCCAACTTGTAGAGGGTCTTC